ACCCAAGTGAATGTTTACAATTAAAGTGTGTTTTGAAAAAAAAACTTTTAATAAGTAAATAAACACTGTGCCTTTGCTTCCCTCTGCTTCCCAAACTTTTCCCCACCCTAACCCCTCCTCCCTGTTGCTTTGCTTTGTTGGGCTAGGAATTCTTCTGTTGTTTCTTTTAAATTATTCCACTCATTTTGTCAGCTTGCTCCCCCCCCAGGCACAGAATTACAGTACCTTCTAATTTCTCACACTCTTTTAAGAATCTCTGCAGCCAGCTTTTGACTCACCCTCCCAAATTCTTCCCCTTCTTCCTCCCCTGTCACATCCCGCTGTTCTTTGGCTGGCTGTTCCAGGTTTCGCACTCTGTCCAACAGGCCAAGAGGGCACCAGCTAAACCATAGCTTACTGAAACCACCGGCAAAAAAATGTACTTTGACTCGCGCTGAGCATTCCAGACAAACTGCTTTGTAGTTGGTTCTCTAAGCAAACCGGTGTGGGTTGTGGCAGGATTCATTTCATGAAGCAGGATGTGAACCTGTGCATTTTCCAGCTTGGGTACGGTTGATCCAGAGTCATAACAGGTGGGGGTGTAAATGGATCCATTGAAGTTTATAACAGAATGATTTCTTTAAATAAATAATATAATAGTTTTGGTGCACCTTGGAAACATTTCAGATTCTTAGGATTCGGTTTCAAGTGTTTTTCCAAGTCTCCTTTTGGCTGTCTATTTCGTAATGCTTTCAAATCTGGCTTGTAATATAAATGTGAATTTCGCTCAGTTTTGCCACTTGGTGCCGCTGTAGCTTAGTTGATGGTTCACAAGAGGGAGAATGAGAGGGAGGGAGGCAGAAGTAGAAGTCTTAGTAAATCCTGTAATTAACCCTGTATTTTAGCTAGCCTAATCTTAGTGCTGGAGGTCTGAGCAACACAATATATAATGGAAAGGGAAGGCGATTTTTGTTCACTTTTCTTTTGTTAAGAACCTCTGTGATCAGGAGACTAAAAATTACAGTTGGGATTGATAACCAAACATTAGTTTCTGCTGATCAGCTGAGCTGTCCAATCCTCTCATAAAAGCAGTGTTATAGCCATTAACTAACACGATGTTATTGCATAAATATCTGCATGAATAAATATTGCAAGAGATGAAATTGCCAAATTCGGGATCTGTCAAAGAAAAACAAATTCTCATGCTTCTGGCAGGGAAAACCATTGAGTGAGACCAGGGAATATGGTGTTGGCTTTGAGGTTAGAAATATTCTGCTGGGATCCATTTTTCCACCTACTGTGGGGAGTGAAAGAATCCTGTCTCTGCAGCTCCACTCATCAGCAGGATCGATCACCCTTATTAGTGCATATGCACTGACACTGTCGTCTACAGCAGAAGTCAAAGACAAATTCTACGATGATCTAGCAGCTACTAGCAAGAAAATTCCCAAGAAAGAGCCACTGTTGATTCTCGGAGATTTTAACGCTAGAGTTGGTGCTGATCACAATTCTTGGCCCACTTGTCTAGTCTGATTTGGCATTGAAAAGATTAACGAAAACGGCCAGTGCTTTCTAGAATTTTGCTGTTGTTATGGTCTTTGTGTCAGCAACATGTTCTTTAATATGAAGCTTCAACCCAGAGTTTCCTGGAGACATCCAAGAACGAAGCATTGGCATCAGCTCAATCTGATCCTTACTAGACACTCTAGCCTTCCTAGTAATATGTTCACACGCAGTTATCAGGGTGCTGATTGTGATACTGTAACGGAGTTCTTCGGTGACTGGGGGAGCCATCGTGGTGAAGGCGGGAAAAAGACAAGGAGGCTCTTCATTCGATTCAACATCAACGAGTTTATTAGTCACACAACTTAATTCCACAGGGTCAAACGGATCCTGTAAGTAGCTGTCATTTAACAAGTGATAACGTTTAGGTCGCGGATCCCACATTCCCGTCGCCTGACCTAAAAAGGTGCTGGCCCGAACCTCTCTCGATCCGTCATGGGACGGAGGGGGGCACTCCTCACTGCACACACCGTACCGCAACATAGATGCCTTGCCCAGTCCCCCTCGGGAGGCTTCTTTTGGAACTCGGGACCGGGCCGGATCACCCTTCGTCCCCCACTAGGAAGATTCCGGGGGTACACAGACACTGTCCATTCCAGAGGGTCTAGCCACTTCCCTCGCCCCCCAGACCCGATGGGATCAGGAAGCAAACCTCCTCCAGTTGCCAGGTTGGGGAAGCCCTCACTTAACTTGGACGAAGCTCCGATCCCAAGCATGGGCTCCGTCTGGACCCCTCGGTCTCTTGCCCTCTCTGGGTTGACATCAGTCCAAAGGTTGAAAACGCGTGCGCTATCCGTCCCTTTTATCTCTTCCCACAAAATGAGGTCCAGCTCCTCCCCCTCCTCATCTACTAGACACACCTCCTCTGGCCTCTTCACAACTGGCTCTGCCTGCTCTATCTCCACCAATATTCCCTCGCTACACCCACTTTCCTTGGTTGCTTCTCTCGTCGCTGAGGATGGCGCACTCTCAGCTCTTCCTTCACAGATACTGATCACTTCCTGGTGTATAGCAGTGTGAAACTGTGAATAAAGAGATTGTATCATATGAAAAAGGAAGGAAGACCACGTATTGACATCAGCAAGACTCGCAATCAGAGAAAATTGGAGGAATTTGCCCAAGCACTTGAGGAAACCCTTCCATGCTGGGCTGATGCAAATGCACCTGAACGATGGGAACATTTCAAGAATGCTGTTTATAACACCGCCTTGTCCACATTTGGCAAGAAGACCAAAACGTCGGCTGACTGGTTCGAAGCCCATTCAGAGGAGTTGATGCCGGCCATTGAGGATAAGAGGAGAGCTCTAGCAGCATACAAAGCCTGTCCTAGCGAGTACAACTTGCAGGCTCTTCGAGCTGCTCGTAGCAAAGTCCAAAAGACTGCCAGGGGATGTTCTAACGATTATTGGCTTCAGCTCTGCTCTCAGATACAGATAGCAGAGAACACAGATAACATAGCAGATACAGATAGCAGCGGACACAGGTGACCACAAGGGAATTTATGATGACATCAAGCAGGCTTTAGGTCCAATACAGAAGAAATCTGCTCCCTTGAAGTCTGCTACAGGTGTGATCATCCAGGACCGAGCACAGCAGATGGACCGCTGGGTGCAGCGCTACTCTGAGCTATATTCTAGAACACTGGTTCTTAACCTTGGGTTGCTCAGGAGTTTTGGACTGCAACTCCCAGAAGCCTTCACCACCAGCTGTCCTGACTGGGGTTTCTGGGAGTTGCAGTTCAAAAGCATCCAAGTAACAAAGGTTAAGAACCACTGTTCTAGAACAAGGGTTCCCTAACTATGGCCTGCGGGACACATCCAGCCTGCCTTGCCTTTCTATCCATCCTGGTGTGCGTGCAGGTGGGCGCGTGGGGGGCAGAAGTGCAGGCGTGCAGGCGGGAGTGCGTGTGTGCGTCTCTCCAGCTGAAAAGTTTATAAACCCCCGCTGGTCTACAGTCTTACTAACATTCCCAAGGAGCGCCAGGCAGGACATGGAGGAGGAGGAGGAGGCAGCGGTGACCCTGTAGCACTCATTTCCCCCCTCCTTCCCTGCCAGCTCACGCCGCTCCGCTCCTGGGGCTCCGGGAGGGGCTGGCTGGCTGGCGTGGCTCCTAGCCTGAGAACCCGGGAAAGGGAAACAGAGCCCCAGCAAAAGCGCCCAACCCAGCCGGGCTTTCTCCACAGGAGAGGCGGAGCGCCCATTAGACTCCGCGTCGTGTGTACGTGGGAACCGCTGTTGGGTGTCAGGAGGAATCCGTGTGTGTGTCCTGACGGGTGGGTAGCTGGGCGCAGACATCCGGGAGGGCGAGCAAGAGGGAAGGAAAGAGGTCTTCCAAGCGTAATCATGTGGTTTGTGCAATATAAAAGAGAGGAAAAGTCTTGTAGAATTTTGCAGGTTCGGAGATCTGTTCAAGCAGAAACCTTCGTGGATTATAATCTGTTGGGTTTTTTTTCCAGAGAGAGCAGGAAGGAGGGAGGGTGAGAGAAGCAGGGAGAGGGAGGGAGAACACACTCTGTTAGCGGAGGGTTGCTCACACATGTTCGTATATCCCACAGCTGCTATTTTATATTTAGAACTGCTGCATGCATTGGCTATGCAAACTGATGTCCCACAAAAGCAATACAGTACGTTTATTGCTCTGATTATTTTGAAATAAGACTCCCTGTTCTGTAAAGTCTGGAAAAAACAATGTTAGTTAGTTTAAAGTAGTAAGAGGAAAGGAAGACCAAATAAGAGATGGATTTATTGACTCAATATTTAAAGAAGCCATGATCCTTAGTTAACAAAATGTATGAATGCTAATAATAGGTTCCTGGGCAATCATTAAATAAAAAGCTTGTAATAAATTGGAAGTGACTTACTCAACTTGAAATGCATAAATATACCCTGGATTTTTTTAAAAAGTAGGTCCTATTAAAATTACTGAAACATTCCTATCACCTGATGAGCTCAGACTTTCTATCATCTGGGATCCATTTCCATATTAGATTTAATGCTGGAGTTATATACATGGTTTGGAAGTAAAGTCTTGCTGTGTTCCATGAACTGCTTCTGAATAGATATGCATAGGTTTTAATTGTAAGTATGAAGGTCTACGTTATATCCTAAGTGTGGAGGAAAGAGTGCAGATCATAGAATATATCTTAAGGAAAAAATGAGAACTTAACCTCAAATGGGGTGAACCTTGCTCTTGTTTTTAGTGTTGGGCTGTTGAAGAAACTTTTGACAGTATGGGGGTTCTCCTATATTCATTTTTGTGGGGGGGAAATCAAGCTTCCTGAAGAATTTTGTTAAGGTCTTGAAGCTAGTGTTAGCTTTGTGTTTTTCCATCCATTCTGTTTTAAGATTCTGGCTCTTGTTACGCCTGTGAACGCCTTAATGTTTACCTCGTGCTGAATTTGGACTTAGCCTTTGATCATTTGGAACTCCTTTTCATCTGCTGCTTTTCTTGTTTCTAGTTCCAAGAGAACTGGTGGAACTTCATCTGAAGCTGATGAGGAAGATTGGGAAGTCTGTCACAGCAGACCGATGGGAAAAATACTTGATCAAGGTATGTGGTGAAACTCAAGCCTCAGTTGATGAATATTGCTGGGGCAATCACTGATACAGCGGATGCAAGTGGGAGAATTCTGCACCCAGTTTTGCTTACAACTGGTTTCGGAATGCCTTGGCTTCTTTGTGCATTTCTTCCATGAATCATATTCACCTTTCTGTCCGTCTGTTTATCTGTGCATCCATCCGTCTACACATATAGATATGTTAAGACCATTTCACAAATAGGTTCTGAAAGCCCTATTTGTTTCCAAATAGCTGTCATTCAATATTCAGGATTTTTGCTTGGGAAACAAAACCTCTTCCCAGGCTCAGAGCTTTGGTCGGGAACTCGTAACATATGCCTACCGTAGTGATTGTTGTGGATAGATTTGTGACACTTTGCTACAGAACCTGTCTTCATGATTCTATTTTCATTCAAATAACGATTTCAAATATACTCTCTGAAAGACAGATTTGCAAGATCTGTGGCACCAGAGCTACCCAAGCGTGTGTCTGAGAGACAATGATTGCCATGGAGTGGGTTGAAAATGAAGCATTGCAGTCATTACAATAAATGTAAAAGTTTGTGTTTATTGAAACAGTATGTAGATGTCCACATTTCCATGCAGACATTAGAATGAAATACTATACTTATATTTCTCGAGTATCATAATCCATGTCCTTATAATAAGGATACTTTATTTCACTTACCATTATAAAAAGACTTAAATCTTCTCTTGCTTTTTCCATGTCAAGACTTCTAAGCAACATCCTCATGTCTTACATCCAAATCCCTGTGGGCCTACATATCTCTATCGTTTATTTATTTTTATTTATTTGTCTCATTTCTAAGCCGCCTATCTCCCATTAAAACTCTACAGTACTCTAATTGTCAGTACAGTGGTGCCTCGCTTAACGGGCGCCCCGTTTAACGATGAATCCGCATAGCGACAAAGATTTTGTGATCATAAAAGCGATCGCATTGCGATGTTTTAGATAGGAAAAAATCGCTTTGTACCCTGTTTCGCATACCGATCATCGCATAGCGATGATTTTCCAACAGCTGGTCGGCGGTTCCAAAATGGCCACCGGGTTAAAAAATGGCTGCCCGCTGTGTTTTCGCCCGGATTCCTCGCTTATCGGGCAGCGAAAATGGCTGCTGTATGGAGGATTTTTGCTTAAAGGTGAGTTTTAAGCCCATAGGAATGCATTGAAGGGGTTTCATTGCATTCCTATGGGCTTTCATGTCAAGACTTCTAAGCAACATCCTCATGTCTTACATCCAAATCCCTGTGGGCCTACATATCTCTATCGTTTATTTATTTTTATTTATTTGTCTCATTTCTAAGCCGCCTATCTCCCATTAAAACTCTACAGTACTCTAATTGTCAGTATTGTAGAAGTTGATTCCTTCCTCCTCAAAAGCCTATTGTTTCAATTCCTTCTCCCTTCCTGGATCTTAGGGCAGGAGTTTGTTGGGTGTTCCAGCAGTGATGGGTGGTCCTTTGGTATTGAAAATGAATGTTTTGCCTTGTAGATGTGTCAAGAATTCAACAGCACCTGGGCATGGGAAATGGAGAAAAAAGGGTACCGTGAAATGAGCACTGAATGCAAGCTGGGAATACTGAAGGTACGGCTTTCCTCTTTGACTTATTTTGTATTTTTCTATGGGCTCAGGTCCTCTCCCCTCTCATCACTTGCTAATTCCTGGCTCCATCTCTGAGTTAAATTAAGAGTGTATTAAATACAGTGGTACCTGACTTAAGAACGTCCCTAGTTGCGAACATTTCGACTTACAAAGGGCTCCGTTTGCAAAAATTGGCATCGACTAGCGAACAGAGGCTCGTCCTGAGAACGAAAAAAGACAGGGGAAAAGGGCTGGAAATTCATCGAACGGGTCCGTTTGCAAAAATTGGCATCGACTTGCGAACAGAGCCTTGTCCTGCGAACGAAAAAAGACAGGGGAAAAGGGCTGGAAATTTAAATTTCCCGTCCTTTTCCCCTGCCTTTTTGCCTCTTTTCTTCCTTCAGAACGCATTGATCAGTTTTCAATGCATTCCTATGGGAAATGGTGCTTCAACTTAGGAACTTTTTGACTTAAGAATGCAGTCCCAATATGGATTAAGTTCTTAAGTCGAGGTGCCACTGTATCTATGTCTTTCAAATCAAGCATGCTATCCAAACCTAGTTAGTGCTAACTGGCAACCATAGTTGGAACAGGCTTGCCAACCATAGTTTGGAGGTTACCACTGATTATATTTCAATGGATAATATGTGCTGAGCCTTTGTATACTGCAGACTCCTTAAATTTTATGGAAAATTCAGAAAATATTGTGATTAGAGTCTAAATCATTAATCTTGCATTTACTGTGATTGGGAGCAGAGAAGTATCTCTAGTGTTTTCTCTGAACAGACTGTTTACAAATCTATAAAGCAGATTTTGTGTTCTAATAATATGGACTGTAGGATGTTCCTTCTGACCCTGTTAATTTACTTTGCAGTTACTTTTTTCATTTCAGTTCAACCAAAGAGATGAGTTTCAGGAAATGCTATATAATTATTTCATGATTTGTTAAAATACAGGGGTGCCTCAACTTGTTAACTTAATTGGTTCCGGAACTCCGATCATAACTCGAAATGGTCGTAAGTCGAAGCATCATTTCAAATAATCCCATCCAGGCCGGGGGGGGGGGAATCACCAAAAAACCCACAACACTGCAAGACCCATCGGAAACGCGATTAATCCGTTCCGGCCGAAGGGGGAGGGGGGAAAGAAAAGCAAACAACTGTGCAAGACCCTTCAGAAATGCCAAAAAAGCAAAGTACCCTGTTTCCCCGAAAATAAGACAGGGTTTTATGTTAATTTCCGCTCTAAAAACGCATTAGGGCTTATTTTCAGGGGATGTTTTATATTTTTTATTTACAACAATCTACATTTATTCAAATACAGTCATTTCATCATCTTCTGGTTGCTGCACAAGGGTGGAGGGTGGGGTTTCACTTCAGTGGGGGCTTATTGTTGCG